ATATTCACACATAGAAAATACAGCCAGTGAAGGAAATAAAATAACAATTCATTAGCTCCATAATGTAATTTTATTTGTAGTTTTAATTGCTTTTATTCCGTCCTCCCTCCCTCCCTCTTCTCCTTCCTTTCCTCTTTTCTTTCTAGACCTGGTGCTTGACATATATGAAGGTCAAATCACTGCAATACTTGGTCACAGTGGAGCTGGAAAGTCAACATTGCTAAACATTCTTAATGGGTTGTCTGTTCCCACCAAAGGTAAGAATTTTTGTTTCCCCAAATCAGGTTGACAAATAAATCAGCTGTTAATAGCAAATCCTTCTGATTAGTAACCACAAACACCTAATACCTAACACAAATACCTAGAGAAGAAATAGAATTTTATTTATGGTAATATTCTATAAAAGTAAATAATAGTTCATTGGTATACTCTATATGAAATGTGAGTATTACATAATAATTATTTTCATGGTCATTAGTTACCCTTTGCCATTCCAACTTGTATCTGTCAGCTCTTGCTGCATGACAAGCACTCCCAAAGTTAATAGCTTAAAATAAAGATATTTTATTGTTTCTCATGATTCGTGGGTTGACTGGGCAGCTTTTCCGTTCTGGGCCAAAGTGACCGGGGCTGGAAGATGCAACATGGCCTAACTCACATATCTGGGGCCTCAGGGCAGCTACACTTCTCTTCCCACGTGGACATTCATCTTCCAGGAGGCTAGCCTGGGATTCTTCACCCGATGGTCTCCATGATTCCAGCAGCAACAGAGAGCAAATCACAGTGTGGACGCTCTTCTTCAGCCTTTGCATGTGTGACATTTGCTATGGTCCCATTGAGCATATGGCCAATCCTAAATGTGAGGGGCAGATGAAGAGACTGTATCTTGATGGGAAAAGCTACAGATGGGAACTTGTTTACTTTAATATACCATACAACTAAAATGGAAGTTCATAACACCTGAATTTTATAAACCTTAAAAATAAATGCATGCATCTAAAAGTTAACTAATAAATAGATTGTGATTTTTGTTTAGAAATATACTAATTTAAGCATTATCCTGATACTGAATTTTAATCTTTGTTATAGGTTCAGTTGCCATCTACAATAATAAACTTTCAGAAATGGGTAACCTAGAAAACATCAGCATGCTCACTGGAGTTTGTCCACAAGCCAATGTACAATTTGACTTCCTCACTGTAAAAGAAAACCTCAGGCTCTTTGCTAAAATAAAAGGGATTCTGCCACAGGAAGTGGATAAAGAGGTACATAAGTATGCTAGAACTAAGGTGTTAGACAAAATGGTTTTGTTAAAACCTGTTTGCACTGATTTTTTATTTTTTTCATTCAATTATTTGTATACAAATTACAGCATAAATATTGGACAAGAAAATCCAATTTAAACAACAGCTAACATTTACATATAATTTAAATGTGCCAAGTGCATCCTTAACTATAAACGTAATAACCCGTTCATTTCTCACAGTAACCCCATGAGATAGGTGCTATTATTATCCCCATTTTACACATGTGGAAACTGAGGTTCAAGTGAGCAAGTAACTTGACCCCCATTATGCAGCTAGTTAACCTGAGTGGCATATAAACCCAGGTAGTTTGGCTCTAGTATCCATACTTTTAACTACTAAACTTTACAGCCTTGTATTTATAAACTTAAACAGAAAAAAAAGAAATCTTGGTTCATGACATAAATATTGTCTTTTGGTTAGATACAAAGAGTTTTGCTGGAATTGGAAATGAAAAATATTCAGGATGTCCGTGCTCAAAACTTAAGTGGCGGACAGAAAAGAAAACTAACCTTTGGGATTGCCATTTTAGGAGATCCCAAGGTAAGTCAGGCTACGTGTACAGGTGAATTCAAATTTAAAAACTGAGACTTCTGGGAATAGTTCAAATCCTTTACTTCTTCATAAACTTTCCTCCTCTGTAGATTTTCCTGCTGGATGAACCGACAGCTGGACTGGATCCCTTTTCACGACACCGAGTATGGAACCTCCTGAAGGAACGCAAAGCAGATCGTGTCGTGCTCTTCAGCACCCAGTTCATGGACGAGGCCGACATCCTGGCTGGTAATTGCTGGTTTCCTTTAAGTAACCTGATGAGGATTTTAAGAGATTTAAGAAGTATAGATGGCTTTCTCAATAGCCGTATTTTGTAATTTGGTAATCTAACTGTATCTGGTCATCTGAACAGTCAATAATGACAGGAACTGGACCCAAACTCTCTTACTCTCAACCATTTTAGTGTATCTTGTACACTTTTGTATCATTTGATCATGTAGGAGCATGATCTGCCAGGAAACTCACTTATTGCAAAGGGAGTGAAGTCTATCTTCTAATTTGAGATTAATCTTTTTACTCAGAATTGAGGTAAATCAACTTGAAATATTCAAATGATTTTAATGTTTGATCCATTAAAATATATAATAGGGTGATTCTCTATATTAAAAATATATCCACTTAATTTAATTTTCATGATGGGTTGGATAGCAAAACACTAGCCTAAGGTACATAAATGAGATTAAAATGTGTCTATTTCATTGAGTCCTTTTTTTTTTTTTATTTCAGCATATTATGGGGGTACAGATGTTTAGGTTACATAACGTATGTTGCCCTTGCCCCCCCTCCCAAGTCCGAGTTTCAAATATGTCCATCCTTCGGGTGGTGCACATTGCACTCTTTGTGTATGCAAATACCCGTCCCCTCCTC